GAGGTTCCCCAGAGTGCAAGGGAAGACAGCTGTAGGGCTTAGAGTCAGGATCCTTTTACAGTAGAACTAGCAGCTCTTGGAAGCGTTGCTGGGCTTTGCTGTGTGTTTGTGCCGATTTCAAATCTTATTAAGCCAAGAAGTAGTGCCTGGCAAATGGTTTATCCCGCCTTGGCTATTCATGCTTCCCAATTCATTTTTATTGTGCTAATTAAACCTCAAGTGATATTTCAAGTACAGATTGTTTTTCCATTATTGAATCTTTGGCCAGCATATTAACGCTGTAGAATTAACGTGAGTCAGATGCTTACTCATTTGTGGAAGACTTTACATTTAAGAGATCTAGACTTGGCCAATTTTGCTCAGATTCCTTTGATGACAGGGTGATACAATTTGTCTATAAATAAAGGAGACTCACTCTTCTCCAGAATAGACATGTAATTATTTTTAAATGAAATAATTCCTTTATCAAGGAATCATAAATACCACTTTATCAGTGATATTTATGGTCCATGATGAAATGGATATGTACAGCTTGGGAGGTAGTGGTGAAGACCCTGAGCTTTGAGTTCAAATTCTAGGTCTGTATGTACTTGGACAATGTTGGATAATGTATTTGACTTTTCCAAAACTCATCTACTTCATTAATTAAATGAGGGCAAAATACTTATCTTCAAGACTGGTTCTAAGGATGAGATAAAACAAGGTACTAGGCAAGAATATCTGGTTCAGTGAATGCCCAATAAATGCTAATATTAGTATTACTGTAATTAAATGCTTTTAGAGCTGTTAATTATGTAAGCTTAAGTTTGAAAAATAAAACCCACCTGAGATTTTATAGGAAAAATTAACATTATGATGTAACATTGCCTACTGAGAATCTCTTTATTTTAACCTTTCTCTGCTCAGAATTTCCAAACTATTAGATACATTTATAAAGGTAGGAAATTCGTTCCATGGGTTTGTACTTGATATGCCAGGGTGGGTGTCTTTAGGCTTCATCGGTGGGGTCTGGCTATGGAGGGGGTCATACCTTGAGAAAAGCACCATGACAGGCCTTGACTCTGATGGTCACCCCAGAGTCAGCAGATAAATCTATAAATGTAGAAAGTGGAAGAGTCGGTGGGGCATGGTGGCTCATGCCTATAATCCTAGCACTTTGGGAGGCTGAGGCAGGTGGAGTACCTGAGCTCAGGAGTTTGAGAACAGCCTGGGCAACATGGCAAAACCCCATCTCTACTAAAAATACAAAAAATTAGCCAGGCGTGGTGGTATGTGCCTGTAATCCCAGCTACTCAGGAGGCTGAGGCACGAGAATCCTTGAACCCAGGAGGTGGAGGTTGCAGGGAGCAGAGATTGTGCCACTGCACTCCAGCCTGGGTGACAGAGCAAGATTATCTCAAAGAAAAAAATAATAATAAACAAATAAATAAATTTTAAAAAAGGAAGAGGGAGAGTTATCAAAGCACAACCACTTGCAAGCTGAAAAAGCAGATGCATGAGTAGTAACTACTTAAAGGGTGAGAATGCTGGTTACCAAGTTGACAATGGAGAAAGCCAAGGGGAAACTTCGTTTATATGGCAGAACTACTACAATGCTTAGGGCGTGAGAGTACAGGTAACACCAAACACCGTATTGGTTGAAAGTCTGCTAAGCCCAGGTGACTGCACCTCTCCTGCCTCAGCAGAAAAGTGGAGACTTAATTCTCTAAAGTGGGTAAAACAAAGGTTCTGAGAAACTCCAGATAGAGTGAGGCCATGGGAACCATAGAGAATATGATGGATTTACATACTGAATATTAACATTTTCAGGCCTCTTTCTCCTCCAAGCAGGAAATTGGAAGAGCATTATTTGAATAACTTGACCACCCCCTTCCTCAAAATGATTTCATGATCCTGACATCAGGTGGTACCTAGTAAATTGGCCAATAATATTGTCCTACAATGAAGCTGAAAATTCATAAATTTGTGCAATGCTTCTAGTACCTCAATCTTAAAGATGTATGAATAGCCAGACATAATTGAGGAAAGCTTGTAATTGAAAGACAAACACAAAAGCAACAGAGAGAGAGAAAAAAAATTGCTAGAAACAAAACTGATATAGAGAAAAGAAAAATTCAAGAAATGATTATAAATATATCATAGAAATCGTAAGAGATATTGCATCCATGGAACAAGAAGAGGATGCTATAAAATAAGAACATTCAGGAACAAAAGAAGAGCCTTGGGAATAAAAAATATGATAGAGGAATGAACAATCTTAAAAGCGGGCTTTAAAAATTAATCTGAAAAACTCTCCCTGCAAATAGAGCAAATAAATGAAAAGTTGGAAAATAGAAAAGGAATGGAGAATTAAATGGGCTATCTATAAGGTCCAACCTCCAAGCAATAGTTCTAAGTGATAAGAAAGCATGTGTTATAGTTATATTGGCACATTTTTTTCCTTTCATAGTAGTACATAATAGCAGTGTTGCAACCTGTACTTAATACTGTTTTAAATTTGATGAAATAAAGTAAGTATTGCATATTAGATGGTTCTGGTGTTAGTAAGGCTTGCATACTCATAATAATTTTTTTTTTTTTTTTTTTTTTTTTGAGATGGAGTCTTGCGCTGTTGCCCAGACTGGAGTGCAATGGCACGAGCTTGGCTCACTGCAAGCTCCGCCTCCTGAGTTCAAGCGATTCTCCTGCCTCAGCCTCCCCATTAGCTGGGATTACAGGTGCCTGCCACCATGCACACGGCTAATTTTTTGTATTTTTTAGTAGAGATGGGGTTTCACTATGTTGGTCAGTCTGGTCTCGATCTCCTGACCTCGCGATCCAACTGCCTCAGCCTCCTAAAGTGCTGGGATTACAGGCATGAGCCACCGTACCTGGCCATGTACTCATAATCATCTTTATGTCTCCACTGAGACAATTATAGCACATGAAAAAGTGTGAAGACAGAGTATGTTGAATGTGGTGGGGGCCTGAGGAGGGCTGGCATTGTGTGTGAAAGGGAGCCCCTATCTCATCTTCCACCATGGGAGGTCAGTAGATACTGCTAAAACAGGAAAACCAAGAAGTAGCAATAAAGAGTGATACTTAGTGATGAGCAGAGCAATGCCCAAAGAAGAAGTTAAAGGAGATGAAATGGGTGCCTCTGGGAATAGGAAATAGTGCCACATGGGTAAGGTGGGACTACTGTTTTTCACACACAGTAGCTTGAATCTTTTTCATAAGTTTTATAGAACTATCAACTCTTCAAACTATGTGATTAAATATTTGATTTTTGAAAAACAAAATTAAGTATATATATATATTTAAAAGTCACCCAGATTATGCCATTGACTTCAAGGAGATTTTTCACTAAGTAAGCCCATTTCTTCTATTTTGCCTTGACATGCTCCATAATAAATTGAACAGCTTAATTGTCATAGAAGTTGTGAAGAAAACACATTGAGAAAAACAACAGACTCATCCAAGGCCACAAAGTTAGTATGTGCCGGGTTTAGGGTGTGGGGCTTGTATTACACTCTCTGTTAATCATTGTTATGTATTTCATTGCTCTGTATAACTCTGGCTATTAGTGGCCTTTTTTTTTTTTTTTTTTTTTTTTTTTTTTTTTTTTTTTTTTTTGAAACGCCATGAAAGATGTAACATTGGTCTCTATTGGATGCTTACGGGAAGGAAGAGTTTGGAAGGGGGTCTCACTAGCCCCTGAAAGCCAGATCTTATTGGGGAATCCTCTCCCAGTGGTGGGAAAACCATGAGATACAGACTGTATAAATCTTATTCCAGTCTGATTTCACTAATAAAGAAAGATGGCTTTGCCAGTAGGAATACAGGATAAGAGAAGGGTTTATCCATAATAATGTGAAGATGACGGGTCAAATATTGCCAGGTGGGTGGGTTAATTGCAATTTAACGGTTGTTGAAAATGAATCGCCTTCTTTGACCTCCAGGTTCTGATCTGACTTAATGCTGTATCATAGTTCTGTAGGACATAACTGTCAGGTGACTATAGTCCCAAGCAGAGTTCCTGACACCAAGAGAGGGACAGGCTCCACTAGCAGGTCCTGACATATTGTTATACCCTCTAAGACATGCCTACGTGTAAAAAAATACCATGATTCTTATGCAGTTTAAAGCAGTGTCCACACTTGGTGTGATAATTTCGTGAAGTGATAGCAGCATCCGTAAAATTACACATAGCTTTTGAAATATAAACGTATAAAAATGATGCTTTGCTGGACTATTAAAAAATGTTTATAAGGTTCAAAGTTTCATCTGATAAGTACATTCTCAGAGTCTTTCCAATAAAAAGAACTTTTCACTGAAATGAGTCCATATACCCATTTTCATTATATTCTAAATAAGATAGCAGTTTTACCTATAATATTTAACTATGATTTACGTAACTTTGAAACATTCTAACACTGTAATAGTTCAAACTGCCTGTCTTTGAAAAATGCTTTGAAACTACATTTTCTTCCATAGAATGAGTCTTTCAAAATCTGTGTCTGGTAGAGGGTTAGATTTGTGAGAGTTACTTAAAGCAAAAAACAGATTTTTGCAAAAACAACATAGCTGCATCTCACCCTTTTGTGTTCTTGAGCATTAAAAAAAATGGGGAGTAGGAGACAGAAGTAAATAAAAGACATGATGTCAGTCTATAGGTACAATCTCTGTTTATGTGCAAAAACTGGATTAGTAACTGTAGAACAGAAAAAGAGGTGGAAGACAGTTCTTTATACTAGTGTTCTTAAAATAAAAGGTTATTAGGCAATAATGCTATAAGAAATGTGCATAATTTATTTTGAAATCTACTTATAGCTTTTTTTGATTTATGTTAAATCTATGAAGCTGATCAAAGTGGCACTTTTCAGATCAACATAAATCAGTCTCAAAAAGCAATTAAAGATTGATTTTTAAAGCATAAACAGTTTTCAATTTATTGCTTTTAGTTTGATACTGCATTTAACTATTTGCATATGCCTCTGTTTACTTTTCTTGTTCCATAGGTTTACCATCTGCAAATCTGGCCGCACCTAACCTCACTGTGGAGGAAGGAAAGTCTATCACGTTATCCTGTAGTGTGGCAGGCGATCCGGTTCCTAATATGTATTGGGATGTTGGTAATCTGGTTTCCAAACATATGGTAAGGCTTGTGTTTGGCTGTGTCTTAATAGAGAGACAAGAGTGTTTCAGAATGTGAGAATGTATTAAACCTAGTGATGATCATTTGATATTTTATAGGGCTACATATAGAAATTTACAAAGAGTTTTTGATGTACATTTACTTTCTACTTATTCTTAATTAACAAAGACTAATGCAGGCTTGCATTTTAGTTATGCATACCTAAGAGAGCGAGGAGTCTTTATATCCCTAGTGAGCTCTTTGTATCATCCTGAACAAAGCGAGTGACTTTCCCTGTGGTCTTCTCCCTTGGAGGGAATTCAGGGATCAAGTCAACCTCATGCACTTAGCAACTGAAACCTAGAGAGATAGAATAACTTCTGATTTACTTCTTTGTCTGAGCCTATTTCAGGCAGAGAAGTTTTTCTAATGCTATATATATACATTATATTATATTTATATATTTGTTTTTTTCTCTAGTTAGGGGAAGAAACCCCAAATCTTGTCACTTTGGGATCAATTCTAATCAAGGTTATTTTTGTCTGTTAATTCATTTGTAGAATGAAACAAGCCACACACAGGGCTCCTTAAGGATAACTAACATTTCATCCGATGACAGTGGGAAGCAAATCTCTTGTGTGGCAGAAAATCTTGTAGGAGAAGATCAAGATTCTGTCAACCTCACTGTGCATTGTACGTAATCAGACTGGCATGTGTTTTTAATAGCAAATGATCACGGACATACCTACGTTTGTTGCTGGGGCACTCTGGGTGCTGCTTACATTTGTTAAAAAAGTATATGCAGTGTTTTGTGCATACTCAATTAAGAAACATTATCAGCCTCTTTTACTTGTTCAATTTCTGCTTAATAACTCTTGCTCATGCATGATCTTCTTTTAAGCTTCTTTTTTGATTTTGAGCTTGTCGTTTTGTGCCTTCCTCTGTCTTTTTTTCTGATAGAATATATTTTGGGCTGGTTGCTCCCTCTTACCAATGTTTTAGCTTAAATTTTCATAAACCAGTTTCTAAAACTTTCTTCCTCTATAAAAGCAATATGATGCTTTAAAGTTATGATACCTAAAGTATTTACTGGCTGTTCACAAATGCCTAATTGTACCGTTGATAAAATAAAACCTCGTTCATTTGATAATCAAGTTTCTGTGAGAAGGTAGGATTAGTCCTACTTAAATTACTGAAAATTATTATCAACTGTAGAAAACTTTTATTATTATTGTTTTAAATTTCTGTGTACATTGAATCTAAGTTCAAAGATATCCATCTTCTTAATTAAATATATTTTTCTTCAGTATTGTAACTAATTACATTTTGAAATTCCAAATTATGGCTTTTAGCTTGAAGGTATATATTTAGTAAAAACTATATAGACACTTCACATCATTGTAAATTCTGAGCTGGCACGGTATAAATTAATGAGGTTTTACTCCATTTGAATTAGAATTTGGATGAGAAAAACATGAACGTGCATGTGTGTAAGTGTGGGTATGAGTTACACACGTGTAGACCCATGGCCATAGCTGGTATCAATATGCTGGTTAACACTCACTCACAGCACACATTCAGCATGTGATTGCTGGAGTGAATGATTGAAATCATCAGCTGTAATCCTTTATCACTGTCAGTACAACCACCATGCCCAGTGGGTACTAAACTCGTAATTTCTCATCATTTTGACCCCCTCAGAAGCCTGAAGTCAATGTTATCTCCAAACATATGCAACCACTTCCAACTGTATGTCCTTAAATCAGCACCTAACCCAAAATTCATTTGAGCATGGTGGAAGGCATGAGGGGCCCTGGGTGTGGGAACCTGGGCTGGTGGGAGGAAGGTAAGTGTGACCCCTGCCCCACTGTGGTCCTTGTCGTGGTTGGTTTATAGCACAGGTCTACAAGTGTGTGTATCTACACATGCATGGACCTTATTTTGTATTTTTTATATATATATATGTAGAGTCCCCCCAAATTATATTTAAACTGAATTTTTATAGATGAAATCACATATTCAACCTTTTGTTTTCCAAAGACTATTTTGAGGAGGCCTGTGGGAGATACTCGGTATAGCAAACAATTAAGCTTTGCCAATTTACATTTAGTAATATCACATTTCTCAGAGGGAAGGACATTGTTACAATATACTTGGGCGGAGTTCGGCTTCGCAGGTGCTCAGTTGAGAGGAATGTCACTGGTAACTGGAAATCTTTCTGTAAATTATGAAAGTGAGTTAGGTTCTTTTATCAGCTTGGCTTCTTCCTAGGTAGTGTTGTGGGAGGATTTATCTGAAGACAAGTAAGGGGGTGATATCATATTACCTGCTTTCTATGAAAAATATCCAAACTCGAGTTTTTTCCTCAGTTTCAAGTTAATATCTGTATGGTCGCTAGGCTCTGAAAAATTGACCTTGTCTGTCATAGTTTAGACAAAGACCAGAAGCAATCAATGATAAAGAATATTAACAACTGGCCGGGCGTGGTGGCTCACGCCTATAATCCCAGCACTTTGGTAGGCCAAGGCAGGTGGATCACTTGAGATCAGGAGTTCAAGACCAGCCTGGGAAACATGGTGAAACCCTGTCTCTACTAGAAATACTAACATTAGCCGGGCACGATGGCAGGCGCCTGTAATCCCAGCTACTCAGAAGGCTGAGACACGAGAATCGCTTGAACCTGGGAAGCAGAGGTTGCAGTGAGCTGAGATCATGCCACTGCACTCCAGCCTGGGTGACAGAGTGAGACTCTGTCTAAAAAAACAAAAACAAGCAAACAAAAAATACTAACAACAAAGATAACCAGTGCAGAGACCCCACTCAGATGTTTTGTCTGTTCCTTGGCTACAATGCCTTAGATTTTTTTCTCCTCTTGTTTGACGAACACATATAGTCAAGAAGCAGTGCCTGAAAGGGAAGGGCCACTGGATTAAACATCAGGAGACAAGATTCTTGTTCCAGATCTGCCTTGCTCAGTAACCTTGATGAGCTCACTTAACCTCATTGCACTTTGGTTTCTTCCTCTGAAAAAATGATGCTATTAGATCTCAAAGGTCTTTTCCAGTCCTTGATTTTGTAATTACCAAAGTCAGACTACATTAAAATAAATAGATGAAGTATTTTAAATACCCTCACTTAGGATAAGTACTCTGTTTAAAGATTCTACTTGATAATGTTTGTTTCCCCAAAGCATAAAGTGCTTTATATCTAAAACTGAAATAATCCCTACTCTGTCCAGGCTTAAATTGGACCCCAAACATTTAAAGGATCCAAACATTGGCATCTAGGATCCTAGCAAAAATGGACAACACTATAATGAAATGTGATACTTTCAAAGAGTATTTACTATTGACAATCAGTAATAAATATTGATTTATTAAACTTATAATAATTCATCAGCAGCAGTAACATTTATTGCATTAATCAGTTTGATCTGTTTTCGAAGTTATGTGAGATCAAGGCTTCAGGTAAAATTTTAAAAGTCGTTTTTGTTATTTGTATTATTTAGGAAAGAAGTTCTATCAAAAAGTATTCATTACTTTATTATTTTGGGTTGTTTTTGGTGATGAATCTGTATAATATCAAGATACAGATATTAGAAACCAAAGTCAACTTCAAATGGACTCTTTCCACTGTCAGAAATCTCTTGGATCTGTTTGGAGCTGGTTTTCACTTATACTGAATAGATTTGAGAAATGACTGTAATGCATGGGTCTTAAGTAGAACACAGAAAGGAATCTCTCTGAAGCTCTCTGTAGGGAGTTACATCCACCCTGATGATGATACAAAATACTGATGGATTCCAGAGTTTCTGGTCATGTGTTTTTCTAAGCCATGCAGTGGTTGAGTAAAATTCCCTGTCAATGACACAGACATCTCGAGATGGGGAGAATTCTGAGCTTTCTGATGCTATTAACTCTCTCTTTTTCAATTTAGTTGCACCAACTATCACATTTCTCGAATCTCCAACCTCAGACCACCACTGGTGCATTCCATTCACTGTGAAAGGCAACCCCAAACCAGCGCTTCAGTGGTTCTATAACGGGGCAATATTGAATGAGTCCAAATACATCTGTACTAAAATACATGTTACCAATCACACGGAGTACCACGGCTGCCTCCAGCTGGATAATCCCACTCACATGAACAATGGGGACTACACTCTAATAGCCAAGAATGAGTATGGGAAGGATGAGAAACAGATTTCTGCTCACTTCATGGGCTGGCCTGGAATTGACGATGGTGAGTAACTGATGCTTTTGTATGTGGGGAGAAGATAGAGTCTATCATTCAGCTGTTGACAAAATCACATATACAATAAACCATCCCCAAACCCAGTGGCTTAAAACTCCATTATTTAATCTTGCTCATGGATCCATAGGTGAGCGGAGTGGCTTTATTTTGCATGTATTTATTGTGGGAATCAAGGTCATGAGGCAGCAGCTACATAGGAGACGTGCTTGCTATGACGAGTGCAGAGTGAAAGAGGACAACTGGAACAATGTGAGGCTTCCTAAGGCCGAGATTCAGGGCTGGTGCACCGGACTGTCTCTTCAGCTTATCTGCCATTGGCCAAAGCACATCACAGGGCCAAAGCCAAGTTAAGGGGCAGGGAGTTGTACTCCTCCCAAGAAGGTGATGAGGAAATGAATAATATTGAATAGTTATCTAATATACACTGGATTAATAACTACTCTAGAGTGCCCCTTATGAGAAAAGGGTCATTATTATTATTACCATCATTGTTGCAAATGTTTAATGAGATTTTGTACCCACAGTGGAAAAACCCATGCAAAACTACAAGCACAGGAACTGTGTTTGGTTGGCTTGTGATGCATTTAAGATTTATTTTCTAGCCTCTTACCTAATTCAAAAAGGAGAATTCTGATTTCTCGTCCATGGATGAGAAATTAGTGTCTTGGACTGTTTTGCTTACCTGGTCTGACTGAGCTGAGTGATTCTTTTACTGGCTCCCAAGCTGTTTTTCTAGGAGTGATAATAGTGCCTCTCTGGCCAAAGGCTTGGACTGCGGAAAGGATGGCTAGCATCAGGGGTCTACTCTGGGCACAGCAGGAGCATGTCAGTGTGAGCTTCAGGAACAGTGGGACAAGTGTCATGCATTTACCTGCTTCAGATGCTGTCCTTCAGTGGAGTGTTCTTACCTACTCAGTCTCATTGCCCGAATGCTTGCTACCAATGTGATGGCCAAGGCTTGTGTTTGGATGTTGGGAGCTGTACATGAATAGAGTTCCTCACCAGGGTAGCTCTGAGTCAGTCAAAGTCATGCAAAGATGACTTGGCAGGGAGAAGGGAAAATAGAACCCTGGAGACTTATGAGGCAGAGGCTGCTTGGGCTGCGCGTACCTGTGTGGCTCCCAGGGCCCCACCACTGGCAAAGGTGGTCCATGCAAAGCCATCTCTGCAAAACGACAAACAAGAATGGAGTCCTTCTCATTACATGATAAGTTCCTGTTATTTTGCTCTTCACTAGACCTCTTTTTAAATGCACAGGCTTCCTTAGTATGTTCAAAATGTGATTTGGAATATATGTTTGATTTACAGACAGCAGCCCTTCAGGAGCACATAAAACAAGCAATATTTGGATGCAATACCCTGACACCCCTGGCTGTTGTTGTCTTTTCCATTAAATCTTCCTCTTAATTGAGAGTTTAGCTGCTTGGCTCTGGTTGCTGTAGTAAATCTCCAGCTTACAATGTGCAGGAAGTCATATTTGAGGGAATAACAGCTTCATAGTTAAATCCAGAGACACTGATTTAGGACAGTAGCTTTTTGCTTGTTCTTACATAAACTTTTTACTTCTGAATAATTTTAGATCTGTAGAAAAGTTGCAAAGATAGTATAGAACGTTCACAGACTTCCCCCACCGTTGTTAATATCTTACATTACTGTGGCACATTCGTCACAAATCAGACACTAGTATTGGTACATTACTAATAACCGAACTTCAGACTTATTTGAATTTCACCAATGGCCCTTTGAAACACTTGGGGGCAAAATCTGATTCAGAGTGAGGGTCTGCAGTTACAGGCTGTCAGAAGTGGTCTGAGTCTTTTGATATCAATGCACAGTACTGTCAGTGTAAAGCCAGTAGCTTCTGTTTTGGGAAGGATTTTCATCTTTCCTTTTGAACATTTCTGTATGGTACTGATATTTGGTAGAGCTGAGCTCTTACCCATGTGGCTTCATTTTCATTGATCATTTCTGTTAGTTTTAACTTAGCTTGTGATGGGAAAGAATTGTTTTCTGGTATAAGAATAACTTGGTGTTTCTCAAACATTCCCTTTAAAAGAAATAATTATTTGTAAAAAATACAACTGAAACTCAATTTTATAAATATGTTTCTTCCCCTCCTTTCTCTCCATCTTCTTGTTCATGAATTTATTAGGTCTTTAAAATATTAATATCTGCTTTTAGAAAAGCCTGTTTTTTTGTTCTCTTTAAGTATTTACTTAAGTGTCAGCTATCAAGGAGTAATAAATGAAAGTGGAAATGAAGGGGACTTGGCCCAGGGTGACAGTGGATATAAATGGCCCTCGTGGGCCATAAACCAGTGTGACCGATTGGAGATTGACCCCACTTGGCTAGGGGAATAGAATCGTTGTGGGTATTTATGAGACTCACAGTCATAGTGCACAATGACCTTTCTTAGAATTCCTTCCTTTCTCATTTAACCTCCTTTAAAACTAAAGAAAAATAAACAAATAGCAAAAAAAAAAAAAAAAAAAAAAAAAAATTCCCTGCTGGTCTGAAGTACATTCCAAGTTAGGGACAGCAGGTCAAGTTTGGCTTTATAGTCCGTTAATATTTCTACTATTATCATACAGTAATTGATGAAGTTTACCTCTCACAATTATTTTTTATAAGAAATTTCAGCCTCTTTCTCCCAGTTGTTTTGGTAAGATCCCACCTTCCCTTTTTTTTATTTGTTATATTGGAAGTGTCCTGGCTTACAAGGAAGCAGGCAACCTGGGCTCACTGTGAAACTAGTTGCATTTCCACACAAAGCCGGAATTAATGTGACAGTTCTGGTGTCCCTTAGAGTATGTGCACCTCATTCAGCTTAGAGCAGATTTCTGCCCAGGCGCAGTGGCTCATGCCTGTAATCCCAGAACTCTGAGAAACTGAAGTGGGCAGATCACTTGAGCTCAGGAGTTCAAGACCAGCCTGGGCAACATGGCAAAACCCCTTCTCTAAAAAATTGCAAGAATTAAGTGGGTGTGGTGCGTGTGCCTGTAGTCTCAGCTACTCAGGAGGCTGAGGTGAGAGGATTGCTTGAGCCTGGGAGGTGGAAGTTACAGTGAGTCATGATCGTGCCACTGCACTCCAGCCTGGGTGACGGTACCAGATCCTGTCTCAAAAATAAAACATAAAACTTATTTTTCAAAAAAGAACTAAGATTTCCCTGGGGTGGTCATTTTGCTTAGGAACTTGTTTTTTAAAACAGAGAATAAAGTATACTGAAAGAAACTGAAGCATAAATAAACCAAAAGTCTCTGAAAGAAAAATTGGTGAGCATGGAAGAGGATGGACCAATTGGATGTGATGACAGTCATCATAACCTTTACTCCTGCTTGGGATGCAGATACTAGACGAGGTGGCAGACACCCTGCTCTCCACTTGGAGGAAGGATGGAGAAGTTCCACCCCAAGCCAGTGGCAGCCCAGTCCAAGGGGTACCGGTCACAGTGTGTGAGGATGTGAGGCAGGCACTAAAAGAGAGCAGCCCAGCAAACCAAGATACCCGTGTAATGTCTCTTGAGCATGTTGGGGGCCTTGCAGACTCTGCCATTTCCCCAGCCAGCAGGCTAATGTGGAAGGACAGGTGCCAGCAGATCTTCAGATGTCAGCAGGACCCCAGACACCAAGCCGGCGCCCTTCCCCATCTGTTAATCACTGGAAACCTGGCTGGTAACCCAGAAAGAGAAAAGACCTTCCCAGACTCCAGATACTAAATTGATCATTTTGGGTCCCACATTTAAGAACCGAACTTAGCTCCAGTTAGTTTTGGATTGTGTTTAAGGCATAAAATGCAAACTTTCAGCTTCAAAATGAAATCTAGAAAACCATGATGTTTCTCCTCTAGCACACTGAAGAGCACAACTTGTGACAATCAAACTACAGGAGTTTTATGTTACTTTTGTTTTCCATCATGTCTTTAAAATCCATTCAGTAGGAGAGATCTTCCCTGGCTCCCAGAACAGTAGCTTCTTGCCCCTTGTTGCATATTTGAATTAACTGGGGACTTTTTGTCACTTTTGTTTGATTACTTTTTTTTTTTTTTGAGGCGGAGTCTTGCTCTGTCGCCCAGGCTGGAGTGCAGTGGTGCGATCTCGGCTCACTGCCAGCTCTGCCTCCCAGGTTCACGCCATTCTGATTACATTTTTAAATACATATTCCTGGGGCCTAGCTTTAGCAACTCAGATTCAGTGGCTCTGGGATGAGAGTTGGGCTTTGGCTTTTTTTTGTTGTTGTTTTTAAGGTCCCTAGTGATTCCAATGAGTAACCAGGAGTGAGCCTCACTGATTGGAGGAAAACTCTGAGCTGTGTAACGTTTTTCTGCATATGATTGAGTGGCAAACAATCCTTTGGTTATTTTCAGCTGCAGATAGAATCTCAATTGAGAAATGGCATGTCCCACCTGAGCTAGAAGTGAAAACTCTGGATGCGAGCTCATGGCCAGTCTCCTGTCCTCCCCAAGTTCAGGCTGGCCGTATGGGGTCAGGGATGGAGTTTGCAGAGGTTTCAGTGCCCCTGCTGCCCAGGTGAAAGGGAGTAGAGAAGGAGATGACAGGGAAGTTTGCTCACTAGTGACTTTGTGCCCTTGGGACCTAGGAATGTTCAAAGCTGATGTGCAGACTTTCTTTCCTGGATACCTTTGTGGGCTCTTGGAGATTTCTCTCTCTGTATTTCCCATGATGTGAACAAATGTACCTCTGCTCCAGCTGGCACAAGCAACTTCTGACTCCAGGAACGTACTTTGTGTTGTTGGAGTCCCTCAGCAGGACCTAACACTCCCCACAAAGACTTTCTCCTGTGCTGCCTCTGGACTGCAGGGGGCGCTCATAGTCTCTTGTCCTCTGGATGTAGAGGTCAAACCAAATGCCACCTACACCCCACGGTTGCAGGTTTCTTTCACCTTCTCTGGCAAGGGTCAGGCCTTGTCCTCTGAGCCATCCATTTGCAGAGAACATACTTCAAGCTCTCGGAGTGGTTCCGTGGAAG